GTGGAAGGAGATATTCAGAATCTTGGTCAGTAAAACCGGATGAGCAGCGGAACGAGCGAACGATCAAGCCCTTCCGTTCAGCACCAGAAACACGCAAAGGCGATTTTCATCGACACGATTTAGATCTGCAGTCAAGGAGCCCATCGTCGACCGAATGAATGGAATGGATGATCCTGCCAAGACTGCCTGCTTTTCTGACGACAACAGTGGCGAGCTGACCTATGAAGTGTGTCAAGCCGCTGCGGCCGCATTTACAAGCCGAAATATTGAACAGGCGAGGAGTGGCAATGAAACGCCCCAGCTTTGCGTGCAACTTAAAACGACCGTTGATATTTGCACTATTTGCACCATTTCGCAGACACTTGCCTCTGCTCCTATCCAATCGATCGTCTTCCCTCTTCTTATGCGGTTGGTGAGTTATGAGTTACTTTCAGTCTCGAGGTCTGGAGATGGCACCGGCAGCAAGAATCACTTTTATTTCAAACATAAAGCACAGTCTGATAGATAGGCATAATTTCAATCTTTCAGAAGTGTTCCATACAATTTCTACTCCTCTAAACTCGGTTCAATGTTGCAAGATCAGATGCGTCACGGGAACGTGGTCTGCATCCCTTAAAGACCAAGTCAATTCATGTCAACATACTGTTTGGCCACGTATTTGCTAAACATGATCCGATTATTCTTCAGGTGTTCATTTTCAATCCTACTATAACGAAGGCGTCATTCAGCCATTGGAGTTTATCTGGACGGATCTTGAGAGAATCAGAATATCGTCGAAAAACTGCACTGGCTTAAGTTATGCCCATGCGTCTCTAAGCTGTGATTTTTCGAATCGAATGTCTTGAAAACCATTTCGAACCATTGAAGCAAAGGATTTCGATCATATAGCATCATCCAGTCCAAAACTACATACCGGATGTAGATTGAGTCTAAAGCCTCATCGAAATGAACGACCTGCAAGAGCAGAGGAAGCTCATATTCGTTGTTTGTACGAATCGCTTCATATATTGTCCGAAGATTATTCATCGTACTAAATCCGCTTCCAAACTTCGCTTCTTCCTTTGGCTGTGCAGAGTCCAAAATATGACACGTTCATCACCAGGTACCGCAAATGCTGTCGTCGACAGCTTTTCTTTTGTCAGTGCAGTCATCTCGCCTAGTATCATTTACGCTATGAAGTTAGAAACAATAATCGAGGAACCTTTATTTCTTTAGCACAAACTCTAGTACGAAATAGTGGCCACGATCTCTGATCCGCGGTTGATCCTCTGTTCACTCCACGTATTTTACAACATCGTCGTTTTTGGCTCCGTCCTTTTTCTTTTCCGTAGAACTGTATCGTAATATTGTGTACGATATGGCCGTAAAAGTGGAGAAAGAGTGATTAAACATCGAGAGACCTGCATATTGCCACGATCCGTGGAGTAAAACTTTTGAAGATTACCGTGCAGATAAATAAGCTTCTTTGATATTATAAGTTTCTAGATCTCATCTCCATGCGATATCTTCAGGAATTCGTTTCGCGTGGCTGAACCACCGAAGCGACGTTTGCTTTCAGTCAGTTACCTGCTGTTGGAGTCAAGTCACTGCTAGTGTCCCCGTCCCGTTAAACAGATGTTACACATGTAGCTGCTCCTTTTGTCGCGCAATCTTTCGATGAACGCAGTCGGCATTTTAGAACACGTTGCTAAAACGCATCCTCTGATCGACTCCAACGTCTGAGTTGTGGCGAACTGTACAATAATCGTTAATGTCCGTCATTTGGCAACGCTCGACGAACGTATGAATGAACCAACAAACGCAGACCAGCGATGCATCATCCCAGCCGACTGCTTCGTATTGATTTTCACCAATTGAATGCCATAATGAGAAGAGAACTCGCTGTCGCGACGAGGAGAGAACGCCACGGCCGTCGTACATGTGTACGGTCAACACAGCGGCCGTCGTCGAGCCATGCATGG